ACACACACACACACACACACACACACACACACGTCGAGCTCACTCTCACCTCAAGGCCTCTGCACTTGCTATCCGTACTGTCTAGGGAACCCTTGTCCCTGATGAGCCTTCTCCCCCTTCCTGCTGACCTGGCCGTGGAAGAAGTGCACGGAGGTGGTGAGGCTGCCCGGGCCGGGGCCCCGATTTCCTTCCAGGATGTGCGATGCCGGAGTCTGGTCGTGGTGAAGAACAAAACGTTCTGCCAGCGACAGAATAGGTGCTGAGCCAACCTGGGAGGCTGCTGCGGAAGCAGGGGGCAGGGTGGGCAGCAGACTCCCACCTGGCTCTCGGGGGTAGAAGTGTTCAGCCTTGGTGGTCCTGTCACGGAAGAGCCCATCTCCAGGACGAATATTCACATAGTGGATGTGGGCCGAGGCCTGGGCCTTGTCATACCTGCAGGTAAGGGAGGATCCGCTCTATGATCCGATAGATCTGATCTGGGCCCTGGCAACTCCCAGGAAACGGGAGAGGGGCAGGCTTCCCAAAGGCCAGGCTGTGGGGTGCTACTGGTGGGAGATCTGGGCAATAGTGGGCCTTGCTTGGAGGTGAGGGGCACCCACAGTACTGGCTCGAGAGCCTCAGGTGGTACACTCCACCTGTCGCTGAGAGGCCTTTGCTCCACCCTGGTGGAAGGCCACAGTACCTGTCTGGGGGCAGACCCTGGGGCCCGTAGGCTTGTTTCTGCTCGGAGCACACGGGCCCATAGCCAATCTTGGAGTCTCCCAGCTCCACACTGGAGGAGGCCTGTGGGTGGACACGGGTGGGAAGAGGGCAGCACCACCCAGCCCCCATCACTGCCCTCCCCAGCAGCACCAGCCCCACCTCGATTTACCCTCTTACACATCGAGGCAGGTGGGCCTGGCAGGGCCTGAAACTGTCTCTGGTAGGAGGTCCCATCGTCCTGTCTCCTGTGGTCCCACTGGAGTGCGTTGCTGCCCCCTGAGGAGGAGCAAGAGGAGAGAGAGAACAACATTGGTTCCACGCAGCCTCAGGCCCACTGGGGTTCGATTCCTCGCCTGGAAAGGGGAGGTGGGCAGTCCTGACTAGCCCCCCCCCGAGGGCTGTTGTGGAAAAACAGCCAAGATAATACAAATAATGGTAACAAGAATAGCTACCAACATACCTGACCAGAGCCAGGAATCTAGGCTAAGTGCTTCAAACCTCATTTGAGAGTTAGTAATATTCTCCCCACTCTACAGCCTTCCGGGGGCTCAGAGAAATCAAGTCACTTGCCAGAAGTCACGAAATTCAAAACCAGAACTGAGTCAAATCCAGATCTGACAAGCCCTGACTCCAGCTTGGAGGGACTCTTGCCTAGTGATGTCCACTGGCAGGTCCCCGAGTCACAGAATTGGAAAATCACACAAATGACAGCTGGTCTTTTTTGAGCGCTCACTCTACGCCAGGTGCCTCATGCACTCCGGGCTCTTCTGCTTCACCAGCTCCTATGAAGTGGGGTGCTGTTGTTGCACCCGTTTTGCAGAGGAGGAAAATCGAGACTTGGAGATGTCGACTTGCTCAGACTCACATAACTACTATGGTGGCGGGCCTGGGACGTGTGTGTGT